GCTGACGGCCAAAAGCAGCACTCTAATGTGGGAAAAAGATGTATATATAAAACACACACCCACACCTATATACACATACATATATATCTATACACACACATGTATATGCATGTAAAGTTCTGTGTACCGGAGAGGTTTATTGTTACACTCTCTAACAACCTGAAACTTAGCATTTCAAATAACATTAGATGAGCTTTGCTCCATATTCAATGAAATACTCTGGGATGAGGATTCAGCTTTTTGCTGGATTTGACAGTTAGGCAAAACCTGTGCACGCGCCCACGTGTGTCTGTGTCTGTGTGTGTGGAGAGGGGGCACAGGAGACGCATTAAGAGTGAGGCACCTGAACGCATAAAGTCAGCCCAGGTATTAGCTCTGCTTGGCTGTGGTTCTGATGTGACACAACATTGAACAGGAGATTCTCATTTTATATATTATTAAAAGAAACCAAAGCACACATATCATGGACTCAAAGATTATTTGCTAGACGTTTTGCCTGTTGGTGTCGTAGCAGGAAGCTCCATCCTCCATCTGCTGGAAGCTCTGCTCAGACACACTGGGGTTATTTGCTGACTGATATGACTAAGGCTACAGCAGTGGATTCAACACGTTGCGAGAAGAAGTGCTTTAAAAAGAGAAGAGAAATACACAATCCAAGTGGCTCCTTTGTGGTTCTCTTAGCTCCAGATGTAACTTCTAGTTCTAGATGACTTTGCTTTCTCAGACCCTTCGTCTGCTCAGGCATCCTATGGAGACTGCACATGGTTTTTGTCCTCTTTGCCTTCCCAGAGATGGAAAACACTCTTGGATCACACGAATGTGATCCGCATTGCCAGATCTCAGGCAGAAACGCCACGCGAGGATTGCGGCCTCCGTTGGTTATTGGCTGGGTAGTGTGGCCAGTGCCCTGGGTTTAGCCGCAAAATCCTCGGAGGATTTCAAGGCTCAGCTAACGGCTTTTCCCAGGAGTTAAGGAGTTAGTCTTAATGCTTGTCACTGAATGCAATATCCTGGCAGAAATCACAACAATAAATAATGTTGGGGGAAAGTATCACATCCACTTAATTTTTGCACTCCATCATAATTAAGAATGCATTTCCTGGCTTAAAAAAAAAAAAAGTAGCATAACAAAGGAGCTGATTTAGTATAAACACTGAGGAATGCAATCCTGGAAAGGCTCAACATTTCACAAGGAATTCAAATTCAAATACGTAGGAAGCAGAAGCTGCTTCAGTGGAGGGCGATCCATCCTATACTTAGTGGACAACTGCATGTTTAATGTTAATACTTTGTGGTTCAGGTAGTTTTCTTGATGGCACAGCAACATTTGACAGGACGGGGGGAGAACTTATTATATAAGTCAGATTTCTTCATTTCTTTGTGATATATCAGTCCTAATAAATATACTTAAAACCAACTATCAGTAAAGCTGCTGGATTTATTAACCCAGTGCTTTCTGAGCAAGAGCAAAGGCTGAGTAAGTAAGAAAGAGCCCTCCAAATGTTAACACAAAACATAAAAAAGGGGGAGGGGGATCGAAATAATATTAGTTTCTGCATAATTGGTAGAATTAATGGATAATGAAGAGATGAGTGGGTGATGCTCAGGGTGCAGGTAACCCTGAGCCGTGCGGATGGTGCTGCTTCCTGACGGGGCTGTGCCATCTCGTGGGTGCCCAGGAAATTACAGCCCCGCACCAGAACCACATTCCCGAAAACTGCTTACAGCATGGATACGACCGAGCGGCAGGCCCGGAATGGACTGTTACGCGTTTCGGCAATTTCCACTCCCCAGTTGTGACTTTCCAAGCCCTAGTGACAAATATATATATATACATATGCAAATATATATACATGTATACTTCTCATACATGCCTATATTATCGAGTTACTTCATAAACTGCAAACTTGGTCCGTGGGAATTTTACAGTGAAAATAGAAAATAAGAGCAATCCAACCATTCCTGTTGTTGTTTGGATTTTCTAAACGTTGGAGAAAGGAAATCAAAGCATTGAAAC